TAACGAATATTATCACATTTCAGTTCAGATTTTCCTGCAAAACTGCTAACTATCATCCTCATGACTTCCTAAATCTTTGACAACGATGCCAACAATACAAACACACGTATCTCATCATCAAAATCAAGTACGACAATTGATTTGTGATAGTATTAAAATCATTCAGGTGTTGAGCAACAGAAACACCTTCTGCTATCTTCAAATTGAATAACTTGTTATCAAGTACACATTGTTATTCATCGATAGCTTTTCATACATACCTGATAAGACTGTCATAAGATCTGCAGCATTCCTCTCATTGACTAAGTTGTGTGTAATATACCTCGTTATGGTCAATCAAATAACTTCTAGCACTTGTCGATCCAACAAATTCCATTCAGCATCATACGCCTAGTACATCTTTTCTAGTCGCTTTCCTAATAACGGAAGATGAAGCTTCTTCTCATAGAGGTAGTCTTCTATCTGCATTCTGCCACCAGCAAAATCTATGCCATCAAATTTCTCGCAAATTTCTCGATCCTTGAAACACGATCCTTGAAACATTCACTTCATCTACAACCATCATTCTTTCTCAGATCTGAACAAAACTCTGATACCAGTTATTGAGAGATCTAGATACACCACTTGATGTGGTATATATATAAATCAAACAGGAGAATGATCAACGAAGCGAAAAAATAGAACAAGAAAAAATGATCAACGAAGCGAAAAAATAGAACAAGAAAATTCACACCAGAAAACAGTAACACAGCGGAATACACAGATTTACGTGGTTCGACAAATTACCTACGCCCACGGAGTTGTATAGGATTTTACTACTTAAGGAATTATTACTAGTCGATCGTCACGACTTATGAGAGGAATTTCTCACTTCTTTGCTCTCTCTTCTTCTCTCTCTGTTCTTCTCTTTCTATACCGAGATACACCAAAGAAACTCTACACCGAGATACACTGAAGAAGATAAACTTATAAGAGAAATAAACTCAATTTCTCTTCTGCCACAAACCACCAAGGAGAAATCAATGGAGAACAATTTTCTTCTTATTTCTTCTTACTTCACCGCAAGAAACTACACCTTGCACTTCTCTTCCTCTATCTCGAGGAAACCCGAAGAACTCTTCCTCTTTCCCGAGGAAGTTCGAAGAAGAGCTCCAAATCCTGACTGAGAAACTTTCTTCTCTTCTATTTACAACTTAGAAGGACACGAGAGGCAGCGTTGTTTCGCGAAACAGGGAAGGCGGGAACGGTTCGCGGCAGCTGGGACGCGACTCTTGCGATCGTAAGAGAGGGAGCGGTCGCGACCAATTGCGATCGACAACACGGAGGCGGAAGTGGGAAGCGACTGAGCGGGAGCGGTTCCTATCGGGCTCCAGCGCTAACACTATTTTACAACATTTGGTTCAAAAAATCCAAGATTGTGTTTTATGTTTACTAATAGTTTTGTATTTTTTTCCTCTGTATTGTTCCTGCTTGAACTTCACCGCTGTCTGTCCTATGTTCAGGTGAACAAAGTTGAGATTCACATCATAAATTTTTTATAAGATTTGCATGCATACCACTTAATTCCCATGTATTTACTTATCTAACAATTAAAAATCAATTTTTACATACATGCCGCCCTATCTTTGCCTGAAAAGGCCTATTTCAATTTCACTTTTTAGAAGTTAAAAAAGGCCTATTTCACTTTTTAGAAGTTAAAATGATGGTATTTTCTATGCGATATGAAAGATTTGGGCGGTATGAATGAAAGTGTAATAAGCAAAGTTTAGATGTTAGATATGTAAATACTTAGAAACTGTGGAATGAATCTAAGTGTCCCAAATTTTTTATGGAATATTTACATACATATTATACATGCATATTGCTTAGTTCCCATGCATTTACATATCTAACTCCTAAACTTAAATTCTTACATATAACCCATCTTATCTATGCATAAAAAATGGTTTTTTTTTAATGTGATATGAAAAATTTGCATGTAAATGCCCCAATTTCTCTATTAAAATTAACGAAATGAATTTAAATTTGATTTTTTTCCCGGACTCATAACATTTATCGCTGCTCATTTTTCACAGGCGAGTAGGAGCTGGTGCGGGAGAGCCATGGAGGCCATGCTCCATCATCAAAAAGAGAGACAAGGGGAAGAAGACTGCAGACTTGTCTGAATTTCGTGATGCCGTTTTGAAGCACCAACAATACGTGAAAGGGGCAGCCATGTATCCTCTTGAGCGAAGTCCTGGCCATGGTATGCTCTGCATCATCCCTGATGCTTGAAATCAGTCCTCATTTTCCACAGTCCTTCAACTCCTTCTACAGATTTCTACTGATATTATTTACAAATCTGCCATTACCATCCAATTTTTTATACTTTTTTGAGCCTCATCTGTTTAATGTAATAAAATTTTGGACAATTTTTACCTATCTTGCACCGAAATTTTGATATTTACATGCATACACTTAAACTTATGTATGAAAAGTTGGATTTGATTTGTGAACGGTGATGATTAGTGTTAGTTTCATGTGATAGGAAAGAATTGACTAGTATATGGGGGGTGAGATATGTAAATTTGAAGGAGTTGTGTGCTGTGTATGTAAATGCCCCCTAAAAGTTATTAGTTTTGAAACTATATGTTGGCTATGAAACCAACCAAATGGGATCTTAATTACAGCTTCTTAATCTGAATTCTATATTCTTTATTGAAATCTGCAAACTGCAAATTGATTTGATTTGGTTTTTATGCATGCATACAGTTCATTTCCTATGTATTTACATATCTATCAAAGGAGGGTTTTTATACATGCATACATATGAATTGAGCCCTTTTATTTTACTTTTAGGGTATTTGCATAAATACCACACAATTCTTATGTATTAACACATATCAACTACCAAAACTTCAATTTTTACCACTCGATTTCTATGTTTTCAGTATAAGTTTGGGGTGGCTTACAAAATAAAAATTGAAATTTATGTGTTTGATATGTAAATTCATAGGAGTTCGGTGGGATTTATGTAAATTTCCCTTTATTTTTTTTCCTAGATTGTGTTGCCTAATGTTATATTAGGACATGCTTGTTTGTTGGATTTATTTCTAGTTTATTGACATTAATTTTTCATATTCAATTTTAGTTTTAAAGCAAATACAAAGGAGGGTTTACATACATATCACCCATTTCTTATGTATTTACAAATCTAACCCTTCAATGCAAATAAGCACATTTTCATCACCATCTATGCATAAGGAAGTGTATTTCACCATGGATATTAATAGGTGCATTATGCATATTTGGCCCTAATGTATCAATGGACATTTGCATACATATCACCCAATTCATATTGTATTTACATATCCGACATCTAAACTTTGCATTAACAAAAAGATAAAATAAAATACTACTATTTTAGCTGTTGAAGTGTTGTACATTTTTTCATGCATATGTAAGATGATATATATGTAAAAATTAAAGTTTAGGTGTTAGATGTGTTATTACTTAGGAATTGAGTTGTATGTATGTGAATCTTCGTATCAATTATAAGATGAGCTAAATTTTAGAGTTGATTTTATTAATTTAAAACTCTTTTTTTTTTTTTTTAAATCATATTTGATGTGTACTGGAAAATCTGCGGCGGTAGAGTAACCAATTATTGTCATAGCGTTGTATGAGAATTTAATATACACACAGATGAAAGAGAAACAAACAGTGATGACTCGATAAACTTTTACTGGGAAAACCCAGAAAAGAAAAAAAACCACGGGTTTTAACCCAATTGTGAAAATATACTATTGAAATCAGAGCTCTGGATGACTTTTTATCAATATTTGAATATTTCTTACTCAAAATATTATCTCGAGATTCGTGTCGGATGATGAAAAATTTATTTGTGGCGTATCAATATTAAATTGTAATTTTTCTTTAGAGTTCTATTGTTAGAATTATTAATATTATTTACTATATTAAGTTGACATTAATACAACACAACTTAAAGGTACATTATTTGGTTGCACTCAATCAAATATTTATACCATTGAATTCTTTTAGGAAGTTGGCTCCCGTATTGCGTATTGTTCGTGGGTTCATATAACCCGAGAAAACTTGTGTAAGGAAGGCGAATGAAGATAATGGATGTATTCTCAATGTCTAAATTATTTGTTTCGTTTTTCTATCCTTCTTTGACATGGTCGATAAGGTGATCTAATGAGAGGAGGGGGCAAGAGAGGTCTCGTGAGAATTACAAAGTGAGATCCACTAAAAAAAGAACAGAAGAGTTTATCCTTTTACGATCTCTTCTCCATCCTTTTACACGCAAAACAAGAAAATATGATATTACAAGTAATGTATGACTTCCGTCTACTGCATCTTGTTGAAAAAATCATGATGTGTGCGCTAGACAGCTCATAAATCGGGATGTGCCATAAGTCCATTCTTAATGTTAGTATTGGCATTTGTATTTGCAAATGAGGCGAGCTAGATTGGTGAGCTTGATTGGTTAGTTTGTCAGGTTGAACAGACAGACCAATTCTGCATGGCAGTACACCAGGTTAGGTCCCTTGGAGCCATAAAGTCTATTGGGTATGTACTTCAGCCCCAAAAAACCGATTTCTACGTACACATACAATCGAAATGCAATAGCTTAGCTTAAGTGCAAGAAATAATTAACTACAATAAACATTTCTTCCTTCGATCATAATTATCGAGTCAAGGCCATATAGAATTATAAACTCGTTTAATTTAAAATATATTTATTTAATCTAGTAACAAAATAACTTAGAATACTAACATCCAATTTTTATTTATTAACAAATGTAACACTCATGTTTTATTTTTCATATTTATAACATATCATATCAAAAATATTATCACCTATGTAGGAAAAAATTGAAGTTTAGGTATTGGATATATAATTCTATAAAAATTAAGGTATTTTTATGTAAATGTTTTTTTTTAAATAAACATTAAAATCACCCCACCGGTCCGAAAATTAGTGGACCGACCGGACCGGCAACAGACCACCCTATTCCATATCTGCTTCGAGACTCCTCGTTCCTCACCGGGCTTTCGGGTTTCTCCATCTTTGCTCTTCTCAAAATCGTGATTCCGCCAATCGCCCGCATTCCGATCCGATAGGCTTTCTAATCGATTGATACAGACAGCTTCGGTGACCAATTCCCTGGGTCTTCTAGGGTTTTGCGTCGCAAAGGATTGCCGATTTTTGTGCTTTCGTTTCAGCTGATTCGATTGAAAGTTTCGGAGTATTTTTTCGAGGGAATTGACCAAGTTGGAGACTTTTTGTTCTTTTTGAATATCGAAAACGTGTTTCCTTGATTTCCAGGCCTGTTGGTAAGAATTGCTTGTTGAAATGGGATAATTTACTGCCGTGCGCCATGAGAGATCGACCAAAAATTCCTCCTTATTTTTTCTTCAAATAGTTTTCAGGTTTGGAATGTTTGCTGGGCCGGCAAGAAGGAAGTTTTGATGTTTGGTAGTGGAGATAGATGCTGTTTATTACTGCGGAAAGTAGGTTCGAGATTAATCAGTGTGCGTTAGGATTATGTTGCGGTGCCATTGAAATCTGAGGTGGATATGGTGGCTTCCCAGCTAATGAAAGTAGCTGGGTTCATCCACTCAACTCTCTCAGGTTACTCAACGCCAGCATGGGCAGCAGCCATTGCTGGTGTTTTTGTGATTACTTCAGTATCGCTTTCCATGTTTCTTTTGTTCCATCACCTATCAGCGTGCAAGAATCCGGAGGTTCATTTATGCTTCTATTTTCCAGTGCTTGTTCATTTATTGAACGCAGTTCGTGATTATCGATTACTTTGGTGTTTTGTATGCTTCTATAGGAGCAAAAGTTTTTAGTTGGTGTTATCTTGATGGTCCCTTGCTATGCTGTTGAGTCGGTATGAACTCGCCTCTAAAGAATTCCTGTTTAAATCTAGCACATTTTTAATACTTTGAAGAAGGTTTAGCTCATCCCTTGGATGCCAATATTTTTATGATGGTCTATTTACAATTAAATAGGCAAACTGTCATATATTGTAGATTAGTTTAGTTTATCTTGTTTTGCAGGAATAACTTTCTATTTTCTGTAAATATCAATAATTGTTATCATTAAGAAATAAATGTAATAAGATTTGTTTATTTTTCTATATTTAGAGTGTTAGATGTAGACTAGCTCTAGGTTCTTCTTAAGAAGGCTTAGAAATTGTTTGAGATGCTACGGCGTCTTCAATTTTAAGTGCCAGCAGTTTATTTTCTATTTGTTTGTTATCATTTGGTAAATTAGTGAAAATGTCTCTCTAAATCATTAGCTATGGCAATGATGATTCAAAAGGAGTCTGACAATTACTTTTACATAATTCTGGAAAGCACAATTATGGTATTTTTGGGGAGGAAAAACAGCTTTAGAAAGTTCGGTGAATTGGTTGAAATATCGGCCATTTTCAGTTTCTTGACTTGCCATCTTCAATTCCAAACCGTTGCACCTAAATGTGGAATTTGATGCTCTTTAATACTTATAAGAGATAAAGATAAAGATGAAGTATTCATATTTAAGAGGGCTGATTAAAATTAATAAAGCTTTTGATTTGTTTTTTAAAGAGTATTCATAAAAGTATTAGTTATCCTAGTGTCATTGCTGCGTGGATTTGAGTGCTTGGAAACAAGCTTAGACAAACTTATTTGTTAGTTGTTAGCCAACTTATGTAATGGATTTACAATAAAACTATGATATCCATTGAGCGAAGTGACTAAAATTTAGGAGATTAAATTGAAAATTGAATTGAGTAGTTTATAGATACTTGTTTTCGATTTATTGGACAATGCATAGTGGGAAATAAAAGTTTCTATTTGCCTTATGTAAGATATTTAGCAGACTTTCAGGGTGTCGGGGCTTTCAACATTTTGTTAGGAAAATTGATTGAGACAGATTAGACATGCTTAATGGGAACTAAAAATTTCCAATGTTAGGTGTTGAGCTATTATTATAAGAGAAAGTTGATCCAATTTTTCTTTTTTCTTTGTTGTTGAAGGCCTTTAGCTAAACTCTTGTTAACAACTAATCAAGAAATTACTTGATCCATGATATAAAAGCCATGATATTCTAATTTTCTGACATCCATAGGTGATTAGGTTCTCCCTAATTGCTTCTATAAAAATATGAAATCACAATTTATTTCCGCACGAGTAAAGGTCATTTGAGAGGCAATCCGACCATTATGCTTAGCTTTTTCGTTTCTATTGTTGTTATATTGAACTTGTCAATCATTTGATGAGGCTTGAATCCTTGTATCTGGTGGGATACCAATTTACAATTGTTTTATTATACCATTTTTTCTCTGTTGGTTGTTAAGGTGTTAGGGGCTTTATTTGCCGTGCAATTATGCCAGTAAACCAAATGGTCAGACTATTTAAAATTTTTTTGCAATATAACTTTTTAATGCATCTTAGTAGAATTGCACAATTAAGCTCGTAGTGGTATGCCTATCTTCTCAATTGTTTGTGTGTGTGGAGCTTGATAGCACATCAACAACAACACTCAGGGCATTTCAACGCTCGAATGCCATAGGGAAGCCCCAATGCTGAAGAGTGAAGCCCGGATGCCAATAGGCCAGGCTCCTAGTGAATCGAGCACTGGGAAGTCATGCACCATGAATGGGCACAACTGCATCATGGATTGGTCGTTTCCAAGTCTGATTAGAACATTTAGAATTTTGGTGCTTCCAGAAGAACGAATTTAGAAAAAGCATGTGGAAATGCAATGCTTGGGAGTGGAGCTCCAACACCAAGAGCAGTTTCTCATCTATCATAAATCAATTCGCTCCCAATTAAGGGTTGAATTAAAGAGAAGATTTAAGAAATTTAAAGGCAATTTTAAGAGATTGATAGAAGAAGAAGGGTAAGCTGGAAGAAGATAATCATGGAGCTATCAAATTTTGGTATCAAAGTCAAATTTCTTGAAAGTAATCAATTTAAACCTACGCCATCCCCACTTCTGCCTAATTTGTGACTTCCTCTCAAAAGTGAAGAAAATCCTGAAGTACCTACATGTTGCTCTCCTAAGCTATCATTCTTGTACAAAATTTTTTCCACCTAATCACATCTCTAAGTTAATTGATTCAGACACCCTCCCTCATTTCAACTTCAACCAAAACGAAATAAACAAAAGGTCTTAATGTCACCTTAGCTCTAAGGCCTATATTATTTCATTTATTGTGCTACTACCATTTAAGAGATTTGTACCAAATGTTGAATTGGCAGAATATGCATATGAAATGTAGAATTATCTTCTAAAATATACTAATTACATTTGAATTCAATTTCAATTTACACAATTATTGCATTTTACTGTCTATCTTTTTAGCTTAAAACAAATTTAAATCTTATATTAATGCGTGACTTATTACTCCTGTTTCGTTGCCTGTCGTAGTACTTTTTATGTGCTAGTTTGATTTCCAACTATGCTTTTTTTCTTGAATATTGAGACCAATGTGTTTCTATTATCATTCTTTAGCTTCAACTAAGGTTGCGTTTGGGGAAGCTTGTGCGTTTCAGGATAAACAGTTTATCCTGAAATGTGGCCCGCGGGTCGACCTCGGGGGTCAACCGTCGGGCTGCATTTAGTGTCAAAATGGACCCGCGTTCTTGAATAAGCTGGCAAAACGCGCGATCCAAACGGTACCGTGGCGTTTTAAAAACCGCCCCTACACTTATAAGCTGCCCCAAACGGGCCCTAAGTTAATTTCACTTAAAATTCTTATTAATAATACTACATCTGTCTCATAAGTCTCCAAACTTTAATAAATGTGTCATTTAGAATAAAATTTACGATAAATAAAATTTGCATTGTAATTTTTAAGCAAAATAATATTTTAAGATAAACTAATAGCTTTATATTATCAAAGATTATTTTGATTTTTTTTTAATTGTTTAGTTATTGAAAGGAGAAGAATTCACCATTTTTGAAAAAAATTGGGACTTAGTGCAAAAATGAAAATCAAATGACTCAAATACTTCTATAAATATACTCAAGGAATTGGATAACTTGGCTAGATTAATTGGCTCACTGTACTATTGGATAACTAGCAAAATAATTGCCTTTATGTGAGTTTTGTATCTAAAGTGTCAATAGCCCAGGCACAATGTCTACTTTACTTGTGTTTTTTGTATATTTTCATTTTTTTTTCTAAAAGAGAATTATATTTTTTTTGAAAATCCTCAAATTAATTTTTAAATATTTTGTATAGTTTTATAAACAACCATTTTTTAATCAATTAGCTAAACAAATTTTGTTTCAAACCAAAATGTAAACAAAATAAAATTTAAAAATAGAATATAAAAAATAAAAGTGATCCCAAACCGCACTTTATATTTTTCAGGAGTTTTTCTTTGGCACTTTTGTGTGATGTCATTAACTGTAAGTACAAATCATGATGTTCTAAATGATATTTTTAACGAGAAGAAGTCAACATGTGATTTATTTAAAAAGTATGTGCTAAATTGTTTTAGTAACATGTGAGCACATACTTTGTGAATTAATTTCATGATTGAACTTTTTAATTCATCTCCTTGACACTCCTTTGTATATGTTCATATTTATTTATTCTGCAAACTCTCATGCATAGGTCAATGTGCTCATTTAATGTTTTTATTTTTCATTTTTAAATAAAATGATTGAAATGTTTAGTATTCATCTCCATTTGGACTTTTTGGAAAAAAAATCTTTCTTCAGATTTTAAAGTTAAAAATGGTAGCACCGTTACCATCGTTAGAGTTTCGAGGCCATCCTTTCCAATGTCCATAATGCCTTATTCTGATGAATTATGAAGATTAAGGATTGGGATGCAATATTATCACTAGATCATACTCATTTGAATGTACCGTTGTTTGGGAGCATTATGCTTTTCTGCTTTTACTGAGAAATGTAGAATTATTTACTGCTTTGAACTACTCAAGTGCTTTTGAAAGAGCCATTGGATGCTCTTTATATATTCATTTACTTTTTCTAATACTTTTTCCAATTATTTTGATATTTTCTAGCTTGTATGTTATCATATTAACATATTCATATAGTTGCCTAAAGTGCAATATATTTTTTTTTTGTTTCAGTACGTGTCATTAGTGAACCCAACGTTAAGTGTTGATTGTGGAATCATCCGTGATAGCTACGAGTCCTTTGCCATGTACTGTTTTGGAAGATATCTTGTTGCTTGCTTGGGTATGGTTCGTTACAAAATTTTCTTGGATAAATTTACCCTATTTTTTATTTATATGTTATAATTTTAATAGTTTTATTTCAAGAATCTGAATTGTAACATATGTTTCACAATTACACGTTATCAGGTAAATGCTTGCTTTATGTAATGCTTTAAATGCTTGAAACGTGGAAGGCTTATTTGTTGAGACAATGATGATTTAGCTATCTTGATTTAGCTATCTGCTTCTTTGATAATTGCATGGTTGCTTCCCATAAATGCTGATAGGCTCATTGTTGAAAAATCATATGCTAAAAAATAATTTGGTTAATATTTGAAAACAATTCTTTCCATTTATGTTGTTGTTTGATACTGAGATTATGCCTTTTTCACAGGATGATGTAAAATACTTATTTTTTTTGTTGTCTGTTAACAACACTGTATATTGACACTTGAATGATTTCATAAACTTTAGTAAGGTGAAATTTTATTAGGATTATCCATAATATTCCTTTTCATTAGCAGATCTAATATGCTTGATAGTAGTGCCATATCGGGTAAGGATCATTTTATGGAAGATGGGAAGGATTGCACACTTCTCATATTTATTTTTCATGATGAAAAGCCAGGTTTCACATAATTAATCTTTTATGAAAGTAATAAATTTTATTTGAATCTTCTATGAAAGTATCAAACTATTTGGCTCTAGTAATATTAGTGATATGAGGTTGTCTCCATACATCAATGCGGGTTAAGGAAAAAGACATTAAGGTTTCTGAGTGGGTTTGGAAATGGGTAACTCTATGATGTTTTTGGCTTTTGACACACCTTAAATTGGAACTCATCAAATTTTATTTATTGAATAATACAAGAATATAGATTGTAATACACTGAAAGATGGATGACTGTCGGCACTATTTTTGGTGTGGAGTTTGCCCGTAAGAAGCTGTCAGTCATCGGAATTGAAATCCCGTTGCCCGCTTCGGAAGGACGTTAAAAAAGTTGGGTTTTGAAAAAGATGAAGTCAAACTGACTTCATAATTTTCATAGTTTAGATGAAAGAGCGATTTACCTCAAATCCTATAACTATCCCGAAGGATAAACACAAGAATCGAGGGTGAGGCTCGATCAAATAAACTAAAGAAAATTATGACATCCGTTTGGTCTGCGAAACCAATGTATTGGCCGACAAATTCCCCTATTTAATATAAGGAATTAAATAGGGTTTATATTATGCTGGGTTCGGG